AAATCGGGTGAACGCGCGCGCGCTATTCGGAATGGAAAAAGTAAGGGGATCTTCCGATGTGACATCGATATTTTCGAAAAAAAAAAATTTAATCTCTCGCAATCGTCATACTTATCGCAGTCGCGTATCCGGCGACGAAATTACCGTCGAATTCCTGCCCATCGACTTGTGCTAGGGCGAGAGACACGCGGTACATCTTATACGAGGGATCGCCGCGAGCATATCAAGTGGCATCGACAGACTTCGACGTAATTCGGACTTCTGCTTAACTCGATTTTACAACTTCCTCGCGAATCGGCCCTTTTATCGACGGGAGGCTCAACGTTTTCGTGGAGCTAGCTTCCGACGTGTGTCGCGACTGCAAAATGCAGAATTAGCATAACGCAGTTTGAGCAAATCTTCTAGAACCTAGAAGGAAAATTTTCACATGCAAAATTTATCTTTTTCGTAACGAATTAAATTCCCATTTGGATTTATCTGCTTAAATCAAACCTGATATAATTCTCGGTAATTATCATCGCTAAATTCATCGTCGAAATTTAACCAGATGTCTCGAAAGGGGAAATAGATGAAGGGTCTATTTACCAGGAATCGCTTCGACATTTTTTTTTGTCGAGATGAGTCCCGTCTCGAGGCGGAACGATCCTTCTGTCCTAAGCTTCTTTTTCAAGGCAACTGGAGGGAAGCAGAGCGGAGCAGTCCTAAAATTATTTCTCTTATCGGTCAATCACAGTGTCAGATATATATATATATATATATATATATATTCTATCCGCAGTACATACGCGCATGCATACATCGAACGTGACATATACATACACCCGCGCGCGCGCGCGCGCGCGTAACAGCGACCGACGAGATCGAGATCCATATCGGAAAAGACAAGGTGCCTCTGTTCTACGTGAGGATTCTCTGGTCGTCCTCCAGTCATCTTCTTCTTCTTCTTCACCTTCGCAGATATGAGCCGTGAAGTACAGGTCTTCGTCCTGTTTCATTGCCTTCTCGTTCTCTTAATAAGCAACAATGGAAATTCCTCTTCGCCGCGTTTATGTTATATGAGAAGATTAAATCTTTGTGCTCGTCTCGTGTCAGGCCCGCCCGTTATCTAGCTTTAATTACGTGACTTGTCGTGGAAAATCTTAAATTACTCGTCGGATTGTCTACATTCGCGAATGTGACGAAACTAAACTAACGACGTGAAAAATCTTCGACCTTTACGAAAATCTTTTCGTAAATATCTTCATCTTATAATTCTGTTAAGACTGATAACGAATTATATGGCATCATCAACGTCGGTTAACGTTAAGATTATCTAGTCTACCATATCAATAACGGGCGCTGCGAAACGGCCATAATTATTGCTCCGGGCTCGGCATTATTATTTATGCTATTATCACCGCGAAAGGATACTCGTCACATCGCCTGTTTGAAATTCGCTGCGACGGATAAGTTTTAAAGCATCCTGCAACGTCGAAAGTGGTTTGTTCACGAGTGGAACGAAGGCGATTTCTGGACGAGTGCGAGAACGGCGACCACAATTTTGGTGCCGATCGATCGACAAATAGATCAGAGTACATTACTGTGCCGGTTTTTCGGTGACTAGATTTTTCATTTATTTGCCCCTATCCGCGATACGTCTCGGCTACGATGCAATTTCGTATGCGATCCGCGTGCAGTTGCATCGTGTGCGATCACATCAATCTGCATACGAGCTCCCGGTCTTTCCTCCACCTCGTTCATCCTCCCCCCCGTCCGCTTCCACCTTATCTCGTCGTTTATTTTTCGCCTTTCTTCTCTCTTATTTTTTCCTTTTCTTTCCATGTCCATCTCTTTTCCGACCATTGGGTACGTTTCCCCTTTATTTCCCTTTCTCTCCTCGCCGCGGTCTCGTCTCTTTTGTTTGCACCTCGCACTTTCGGACACCCGCGAACTCTCACGACCCTCCGGTGGTTCCTATTAAATCCGTTGGTATTGTATTCAAATTGGTTCGAGCTTTCGCGGCCTACCTTTACGTCCGCTCGTCTCTCGCCGCAGTCGCTCTCTCGACCGCTCATCTGGTCGCTCTGTCGCTCATTAAAAGATCCATTAGCGGATAGCTAGTATTTCGTACGATCTTAGCGTAATTAGAATAGCGAAGCAACGTAACAATTGCAAGGTATCATCATTTTCTATTTATACATATTTATATAATATCTTTAAGGCAAAAATTATAATTTGGAAGCTATATTTCTTATTTTTGGATGCCTGCAAAGCGATACACACGTGGTAGGCACTAATATAATCGGACAATGATTTTAACATCTATCTCGTAATGGACCATAAGGTTTTATCGTAGCGCTTCGTATCCGATTATCGCGAAACTTTTTTCCTGCGCGCGTCAGTCGTGGCTGGATGACAAAAAAATGCTGCGCGCAAAGAGTCGTCGCGCCCTTTCATCCCAAGAGAGCGAGAAAACGACCGTTAATTCGACAAATTCGGCCAATTGCGTAATTCCGAAAAGAGTCGTTGACCGTCTGGACGCGGCGCCGGGCTTTGGGTGGTGCGAAAGACGAGTGAAAAAAAAAAAATCGCGTCGCGGGGGCTGCGGGCGGTCAAGCGCGCAGGGGAAGGAAAGGGAGGAGGAGGATGATGCGCCTCACGCACATACGCACGGACGCGCTCACACACACAATCTTCCTCGCGTCCAAGCGCAATACCGGGAACCTTTTCCCCCCAAGTTGGCAGTTGTGTCACGTCGCGGCGACTACAAAGCCCCGCGATTCTCCCCCCCCCCCCCCCCCCCCCCCCCCCCCCCCCCCGCCCGACCCGATGCAATACACAACACTTGCATACCATACTTATTTCGTACTTAAGCACCGCACGGAACGCGCGTGCATCTCTGCACGCACACGAGCGCGCGTTTCGTCGTATACAGGGTGAGCCGATAATTAAGTTCTCCTTCGAGCTGACGCTCGTTGTTACGTTTTCTTTCTTTCGCGGAGCGTATTTTTTCTACGAGCTTATTTATTGTCAGTTCAATTGAACTCTCGAGACGCGAGCCAAGCTGAACTTTCGTTCGATCGTACATGATTTATCTTATTGACTATCCCGTAATCGGAGTTCGATTTTATATTTCCTTGTTCTGCCGACACTTCCATTTTACTTAAATATTTCTCCGTATTCTTCGTATTTCAAATAATCGCATTCATACGATGCGTAACGATTGAACTTTGTCATTCTTCCCAGTTTCTTTTCTGAATACAGAGTTGAAAGGTAGTAATTTTCCTTCCAAGCGTGTGATCACACCCCTTACATAAAATAGATACAACGCAGGTTGTCTTCTTTCGTGAATGCGCGTGCGTGCCGCGCGAATACGCTTTCATGCCGATGAATGATGCATCGCGGACAACGCGCGCGCCTGCGTTAGGCATCGGGTGTGTAAATAACGGATTAATTAATAAAAGTGCACGAAGCCGCGCGCGCCCGTACCGGACTTCCTTCTTTTTTCTTTTTCATTTTCTACATAGTTATCCTGTTTAACGGATAATTTTCATATTGTAGACAGGGCAGATGCAACCCGCACCTTCGAAGCGTCTATGCTTCTAATGCGTTTTCATGTTAACGAAAAAAAAAAAGAAAGAAAAAACAATGCCGTAGGCGCGGCTCACCTCATGCCGATCGATTTTCCTTCGAGATTACATTATTGTTGTAATGACAATACGTCAATGATTTCACTCGCCGCCAGCGGCTGTTCTCAAGTCGAGAGTTCGTGGATCGTTCGCGGCTTGCCACGGCCGCGGTGTCCCGTTTGCTCGACCGTTTATTTTTAGCAGGCGTATTATCGTTAATTTCGATCGAAATGAGAAGCCGACGACCTCCTACGCCTCCTTCTTCTTCTTCTTCAACGGGGAAACAATACCCGCGACGCGCTCTTCTCCGTGTGAATGCGCGGACGAGGCGTGGTCGCGCGCGAAGAAGACGCGCAACGGTGACGTAGCGTCTCGCGAATTGCGCTCGAGGACTGTCGATTCGTTAATTGCACCGGCTACCAGAGACTACCAGGAATCTGAGGGATTCCTTAATTGCGCGCTCTCTCGTCTGCTAAAGCCGACGAGATTACGTCAGTGATGTGCGCCGCGCTCGATCCCTCGTCGCGACGTCATTCTCGTTTCGCTTCCAGAATCAATTCCGAGATAACGGACGAGAGACTGCTAATATTAACCTGTGCATCTTTCGAATAATAATTAATTAAGGGAAAACGATTTAATCGGACTGTGTCTTCTTAAATTCAGTATTATAAATTAAATTAAGTTGTAGGAATAGATAGACGTGTGTGCTGGTTGACAGGCTGTCCGACTTTCGCGGGCGAGAAGAACGCAATGAGAATTGATTTAGCGCGGTGGCGTGCGTGATGGACGGGGGACGGGTATGAGAATCCGAATGGAACGTTGCGGGAGAGGAAAAATCGCAGATTGAAGTTTAGAATAAAGAAGGGTATTCCTCGCGCGCTCTGCCGTCCGTCGAACATGCAACATGCGATGATTTACGATCCCGTGTACCGAGCGCATTGCCGAGCATCGCCGCGCCGCGCCGGTCGAACGGAGAAAACGCATCGCGCGTTGCACTCCAATGAATAACATCTTCCGACACGATGCTTCCTTCTTATTTCTCTCTCTTTCTTTCCCGTTACGTCACCGTATTGTTCGCATCTCGGTAATTTTACTGTCCTTCCTCAGCTGATTTTTTATGTTCTTCATTACATATAATTCCTTTATTCTTTTTTTTAAAACTGTCTCACGGAAATGTCGCGACGATGTGGCTGCGTTACGTATCATTCCTTCATTTCTTTGAGATTCAATTAACGGGTCTGTTCTTATCGACGCTATTATAAATTTCCACGGTTAGGCTCTTTCGTCCACCGCGCTAATAATGAATGAGCCGCGATTGTCGCGCGCGACAAATCGCGCTTCCTACGTAGTATAAATTCTAAACTTAGCGAACTGTTGACTTCGACTGTTGCAGGTGAACCGGCCGCTGACGATGAAGAAGGAGGGCATCCAGACGAGAAACAGGAAGCTCTCGTCGAAAAGCAAGAAGAAGAAGGCCGGCGGCTGCCTAGGCCTCGGTGGCGTCATGGGCGACATGATCAAGGCCAGCGGACACCTTGATCTCGACAACAAGCCCTTCCACTCAGGATTTGGATCGCCGATGGGTAAGTCGAATTCTTCAGCTTATATATGCAAAAAGATTTTTTTATTTCAAATTTAATAAAGCCGCAATTTAGCAAAGTTCCGTACATTATTATATTATGAATATTACATAACGCTAGAGACAGAGAGATTATCTTCTACATCTAAATCGTAAGAAAAAGACTTATTGTTAGGGTACAATGTACCAATCCCTGGACACGTAAGACCTATGTCTGGGCACCTTTATCATTTTAGTTCTTAAATAAATATAACGCAAATTAAAATCAAAGATAAAAATATAATACAAAGAAAATATTTTTATCTTTGATTAAAATCGAAGAATCAAAGATAAAAATGTTTTCCTTGTATTATATTTTTATCTTTGATTCTTTGATTCTTTGATTTTAATTCGCGTTATAACTTATTTAAGGGCTAAAATGATAAAAATGTCCAGACATACGTGCATTTACCTTATTTACGTTTTAAATTTAGATTTAACTTAGCGGTAACGCGAAGATTCGCAATTGTACGACGTTTCTCAATATAATCGCCTCTGCGAACGATTCAGCACGGAACGGAAAGAATCACGCCGTATCTCTCGAGGTCTCTTATGCGAAATTCATATGCGGGGCGCAAGGTGGGATTTTAAAAGGACGACGTTTCCCATTACTTGTTCCAGGTACATCGCAGCATCATCACACGATGCATCCGGCGATGCAGCATTACATGTATCACACGGGTGTCGGCGTGGCCGGAGGTCTTCATCAGGGATTTGCGCCACCGGCGCCGCCCCCCATCCACCCGCACTCGCATTCGCATTCCCATTCTCATCACATGACGAGTCTTCAGGGTCTGCAGCTGGCGGCCACGACGAACGCAATGGTGAGTGCACGATTGTTACCTTCATCGGCGATTGACCAAAGGCTTCGGCCGCCGATAATCGATCGGGATCTACCGCGTGGAGTTTGCCGATTCCCCTCGAGTTGTGAACCGGGCTTGACGCGCTGCAGTTATCTCGCGACAGCGAAATGATTTGACCGCGTGTCATTTAGATTCATAATTTCCAAATGTTTCAGTCTCGCTTGATGCAGAAATTAAAAAAAATTATCCATATACAAAATGTGAATATTACGTTTTCGACGAGACACGTTATTCTGAATATTATTCTGAAGTTTCGATCGCCGCTGCTAGTGTCAGTTACCACGTCCGTCTCTGTTTCCAAGCGGTAATATTAATCGCGCCGGCGCGCGCGCGCGCGCGCGTGCACGCGAAAGGAGAGCCTTCACTCGCGCGGCCGACAAGTAGAGCATCTCAAGAGTGTGGTAATCTTTGTCTGGTTTCAGACCGGCTGGCGATCGGAGTACACATGAATCGCGAGTGACTAGCAGCTCAGGACGCAGCCCACCACTGTCTCGTTGTAATGTAAAAAAAAAAAGAAAAAAAAACCAGAAAAAAAAGAAAACTAAACACACACAAAACCGCTCCTCTTCTCTTTCTCGCACGCGGGCCACCTCGCCAAGGGGCCACGATCGATCACCGACACGACACCGAAAATCCCGACGCGCGGGATTCTGGGACTCACAACGTCCTTGTGCACTGGCCGTAAAAAGAGCGCGCGCGCCTGTCGGATCTTTCTCAAGTGAAAGCTCATGTAAATATGTAAAGTTTCAATGTAGGGCCATCGAGCCCCGGCCCCAAGTACAAAGGAAAAAATCAGCTATTGTATTGAGTCTTATATATGATATATAGCATGTAAATAAATATATAGATACAAGAATTTATATTATGTGCGCGTGTACCGAGCGTGTGTGTATGTGTGAGCGAGTGCATGTGGGACGAGCGTATGCGCGTGTGCGTGATGATGACCTGTTTTAGGTGACTCCTCGGAGCGATTCTGGGCGAGCGATCTCTGGCCGGACCGTCCGGACCGTCGCGCGGGACCGTAACACGTTGCGGTCCGCCCGCGCGACGGTCCCGACGGCGCAAAAAAAAAAAAATCCGCTGGATTTCCACGCTTCGCGCCCAAAATCGGTTCCGAGTGCGAAGAGTCGCGCGGAGTGCCGCGAGTGCGCGGGGTTCCGGAACGGAAGTCCGCGGGCACGGGAGTCGACGCGGTTATCGTGCAATTTCAAAGGAAGATGTTTATTAACGGGCGTTCGTAACTCGGTGCGGGATCGTTTGGACGTTCCTCAGAGATCCCTCGCCGTCGGTCGAGTCGCGCGCCGACGAGTTTCGCGTGGTCGCGTGTGCAGAGTTTCCGAGGGACTCGTCGAAGCTGCGATGTGTCGTACGGCCGCAATTAAACGTAACGGCAATTAACAGTCTCGCAAACGTAATTTACGAAGCTCGCTATATCCTACGCGGACTCTTTCGAAAGAGAGAACGTCGTAGCGTTCCCTCTTTTCAAAGAGCGACTACTTTTCACTATGTAGCAATCTAGATCGTTAATTAAAAAAAAAATTGATGTTTCTCCTTCCGGCGGCTTAAAGAACGCATTTTTAATCAAGTAGACGCGAGCCAGCAATAATCGAGGGGGGCGTGTTCGATCGCCCGGCGCAGTGCGCAGTTTTTAGAGAACATTTATAATACAGCCAATATATCGCGCGCGCGGAATTCAGTCCCTTTCCAAAGAGTCGATCGAACTTCACCGATCAACGCGAGAAACGCAATTTATTTCCCAGGAATTGAAACGCCTTTCCACGATATCTCGAAGTGAATTGAGCATCGGTCGCGGGATCAACACACACCGGTAGTCTCCGAAAATCGAGCTTTTTCCCCATTTTGTTTTTCTTAGGATTTTCGATTGTATACCTTGCCTCTATCTGTCCACTGTCGGCGTCCATTGGTCCAGCACCGTTCTGTGTGTCGTACCCGGTTAGTGATAGTTTACGTAAGTGTAATAAAAAACAAGCGCGTAGAATAAATTCGTAAATTATATACAGAAGCCTCCGACGATCGCGATCGATCGGCTCAACCCGAACGCGTCGATGCGATCGCCGGATCGCACGAGCGTTTTAGCTTCATAATTTAGTCACGGCGGACACACGAAGAATCCACACTTACACATTCACACACGTATACACACACTGAACAGCAACAGTCAGCGCGCAAGAAACACGAGAAATACGCGATTAAAAGGCAAGTGTAAATTTTGTATCTTCGAAATTGTGTATCGTTATTGTAATAATATAGTATATATATATATATGCAAATGAAAAAGAAAATAAAATATATGTATTATAAATATATATTGGAACACGCGGGGCGGGCGACCGTCGCGCGCATTAAGTGATTGTGCATAATTAGCAACTAATTGCGCATCATAAACAACCATGCATATAAATAGTCAACAGGATATAATTGAAGACTCATCGGCGAGTGAACACACGACGCACGAGATGTCGTACAGAGGTGAGACGCGCCGGGTGATCATTAGCATTGTCATTATCGCTATCGGTCATCATCGGGTCGATTGTCCATTGATTGATCGCTACTCGTGAAAAACTCACTCGCTTGGGTTCTCCGAACACATTGTGATTTTTCGATTTTAGAGGTTTTACCACTCGCGTATGTTTTTTGCGACTAAATAGACGTACATAGGTAATTACGAAGGTGAGAAGGGAGGAGAGAGTTGAAAAGGGGGAAAGAGAGGGCAGACACGACGTTCGTGATTTCGGGAGGATATCGCGCGGTATCTTTTCCTCCCGCCGCGAGGACGTAAAACGAAGCGGGGCAAGGTGGCCCTTCGGGATCCCACGGGGGGACGACGAGTGGCGGCGATTTTCCAAAAAGACTGAGGGGACGAAAGCAAAAAAGAAAAGTCGATATCGATGGTCATTTTCGTGCGAGGTCTTCGCGCGTCCAGATCGGAAAGGGGGCCGTGGGAGGAGAGGAAGGAAGCATCTATTAATAGTATTATTAGGAAGTAGCGTGTAGCCCTGTGTAAAAACAAATAAGAAAAATATATATATATATATATGATTTTTAAGAGAGGTCGATCGCATCCGCACAAACGCGCGAGAAGAGAGTTAACGGTGGGTGAAAAATTAGGGGGTGCGACGAGACGACGAGAGAGAGGACTTTGAGGGAGAAAGGGGGAGAAAGAGATGAAGAGTGCCGGAGCGATCCTTTCGCACACGCGGACGTACGGCGAGGATGTTTATTGGATGTAAAAAGTGACACATTGTAAGATACCATTGTAAAAAGAGGTTTTAACTTAAAATAAATTAAATGATAAATCACGCATACATACCGACCAATCTTTAATCGAATATTATGTGATTATAGATGTGTATATGTACAATGTATAGCATTACGATGCTCTCTCTCTATTTTCTATTCCTCTCTTTCCCCGTCTCTCTCTCACCGTCTCCCCTCTCGTCTATCTCTCTTCCCTGTCTATCTCTCCTTCCCTCTCTCTCTCCTTTCACACCTCTTTCTTTCGCGCTTTAAAACCGTCCGTATATTCTTCTGTCCTGCTGCCTCGACTTGACACCCGATTTATTCCCGCGGAACCGCAGATCCAGTTGTTTTTCTCCCGATCGTCGGTGTCGATATCGCCGATAATATCGTCGCGTTATCACCGGACACCGAGACGACGTTGAATTTTCCTGGACGACTCGAGATCAATGCGCGACCTTTGATAAATCACACACGCGCCGTATAAACTGATTATTATGGAATTATTAATGGTTTTATTCCGCCGTATACGTGTTTCTTTCTCTCTCTCTCGTCGCGAGCATGACGATGTTGTATCGTTATCTCGGACGATGTCGCGCCGCCGACACGCGGCTCCCACGAAATGAATTTCTTTTCGCTTCAAGCTCGGATGAGAAAGAGAGGGAGAGCGAGAGAGAGAGAACCCGAGGTTCTCTTAATCAATCACGCGTGCCGATAATAATATCGTTACGGAATTATTAATGATTCCATTTCGCCCGCATCGCGGCGCCGTAATGTCATTATCGGGCGATGTCGTGAGCAAAATTCTTTCGGCGATTAGAAACAATGGCGGTGTCGTGTGATAAATCGCGCGCTCGCGCGACGGCGATGATATAACTCGTACGCGATCGAGTCGTATATTGTTTAGTTAGCGCGCTGTCCGACCGACAATACGCGTAGATTGCAAAATTCTATTGACATCGTTAGCAAAACAAACACGCGAGAGCGAGAACTGCGTATTTTTTTTACGACTAGTCACAATTAATCATGAGTGGCATTAAAAGCCTGTCGACGCTTCGCTTTGTTTTGAAGACAATCCGCTCGCGGACACATTTTACAAGTATGTTTCAAATATTTAAATCACTATCGAGTTTCGTAACAAGCTAATAATCTTATCACAAACAGCCAGTTCTCTTATTGTCATCGGGAATAACATATTCATTACGATATTATACGCGAACAATAATTCAATAGCGAATCCTTTTTTAAAAACTCAAAAATATTTTAATTTTTTTTTGCTATTTGTAATAACCGTGCGATGTATCGGGACAGAGGGAGGGGTTTAGACGAATGTCGATTAGTATCCTTTTATTAATTAAAAGACGTAACTGAATTGAGTCTTACTGGACGAGGTGTTTGCATGTAAATCGAGGCAGCAATCGCGAACGAGATAACGCCGTGATTACAGCGAAGCGTAGATGAATCCCGCTCCGCGATATGATGATATCGGTAGTTGCGCGCGACAACCTCGATGTCACATTCGACGTGTTAATGAGTCCGGTAATAAGAGGAAATCGTGTCATACACGAGCCATACAATAAAAAAAAAAACGAAAAAACAGCGGAAGAACATTCCGTAGCTACTCCTAACATCGGAATTGGTTTGCGATCCGATCTCACGCCTATTCGACTGCATTAAATATATTAATTAATGCGACTCTGACTGGCATCTCGCGAAGATACATCTCCGCTCGGGAAACTCAGTGATAAATTGTAACGACACGTTACCGTGCGTGATAAAGGTCGCACGTTAAGTTTTTACGATCGAATTTGTTTCTCTCCTGTTACAACGGCAGTATCTGAGATGCTATCCCTTTAAACGAGTGTAACAATAAGTTGGCGGAAATAATTCTTTTTGCCGCGTTATGGCAAAGAAATTATATCTGTTGAGATTTTGTACGATGCAACTTGTGAAGACGAGATTGTATATGGAAGGGATTTTTGCACTGCGGAGTCCGGTTGCGAGTGATTAGGTGATATTCGTATATATGTATATATATATATATATATATTTAATTATATATACATATATATATAATTGTTATTTTATCTATATACGAGAGAGGTTTTGAAGCGCAAGGTGTGCAGGACGAAGGAGTTTAAAGTGAAGGACGGTTACACCATCCCGTGCAACCAACTATATAAAATGTACCGTAACCGTTATCTCTCTCTCTCTCTCTACTGTGTATTTACTTGAAAATTTATAAATGTGTGATATATCTACTTAATTACGCGACTTGTATTCATTGACCTTTCCCAAACCCTGCTGCATATTTTATTCTTCCGAAAACCGCTGGATTATTTTGAGTAAATTTTTTTAAACTCGCATATTATACATATGTTAATTAATAATGGAATTAATTATTTAAGGAACAAGACTTTTTATATGTGATTCTTAAGCTTAATAAATTATGTGCAAATATGTATGTATTATCTTTTATGTAGATATATATAAATTTATAAAAAGACGATTTGAGACAATTACAAGTTAAAAATTTACAAGAACGAAAAATTTAAGCTTCATTGAAGTATCAAATTCGTCGGACTTGCTACAGGGATTTTTTCCAGTTCCAGAGCATAAACCAGGAACCGCTATCACTGCGACTCAAATAAATCCCACGGGATCTCGATCGGCTCCCGAGAATCACGAGGTTGCGCGCTCGCTCATTCTATGAATTAGAAAATCGATAAAGGCGAGTGTGTCATCGTCTGAATCTCCAAATCCTTGCTTACGCGCCTTTGCGCAAGTCGGCCTTCCTCGTTTCACGGCGAATTAGGTCCGGATGGGCCCTTCGCCGAGGGTTAAAAAGGGACCGGAGTCGAGATATCTAAAGGAGAGACTGGAGCTATAGCAGCTGCTTACGTTCGATCGTAGCCGAATCGCCGACGTTGACCTTCTGCCGCGGGATTCTACGACGGAAGAAAGAGAGAAGGAGATAGGAGAAGAGAAGAGGAGAATGTGAAGAGGAACGGTTCTAGATAGCCCTGGCTAGAGAGAGGATATATACTTCCTATAAAAGTGACCGGGATTTCGCGTAATCCCGTTTCTCTAGGGTAGCGGAATAGAAGAGATGGGATACCTATCTAACCGCTAGCCGAAGCTCTTCTCTCACGAGCGCACATGATCCTCCTTTTCTTCGTGCAAGCTGCGAGTGGTGGAGTCAAGAGAGTAGTCCCGAATTCTCTCTTTTGCGGTTTATCGCAGATTTCGCGGTAACGATGTTGGAGAACGAATATCTCCCCGAAATGCACATGTACCAGCTAGGCTGCTCGTTCCGGCGACAACGATAAAAATTCTTCAAATTATTTATCTTGATTTTTTAAATTTTTAATGAAATTATCACGGCGAGATACTATTATGGCAAAAACTAGATACCTATATAGGTTTATGTCAATATATAGAATATTTAAAGTATCAAGAGAACATAATCGGCAAAGAGGTACACTGTCTAAAATTCCAAGAATTTTATTGATTATTTCTGAGAATTTTTCACATTTCTAAAAATTTTTTGTATTTCCAGGAATTTTCCACATTTCTAAAAATTTGAGATTTCAGAAGGTAATTAAATTTCTAAAATCCCTCCGTCACCGCGGCCGCCGGCGCCGTCGCCAAACCTCCTCAAAATTATAATTTTATCGCTGAGCGACATGTATACGTTGTTTCTGAATGAATAAATTTGACGTAACAGTTCATCGAAAATCGGTATGACGGCTTCGGCCCTGTTCTTTCGCAACAGTGCTCTTGAATATTACGACACTTTTCCCGATTTCCACGTCGCTTTGTAAAGTGACGCACTGACGTAATCCGTCGATGTTTTCTTAAGTCGAGGAAGTCGGGATAAATGTCCACCGAGCGAAGCCTCCGAAATGGATCGGTGCCGCATGAACGATACTCTCGACTCGTGAATGCGGAGTCACTTTGGCGTGGCAGGACTTTGGGACCGGTAATCCCTTCTGTATATCCTGCCGCGGGGGTCAAGCACGTGGGGTCAGTCTCACGTCGAGTGTGAAACTTAGATTCAGGATGCATAGGCTGAAATAAATAATCAATCGTGGGATTTGTACGCCGAATGTCACGATCGAGGGTTGTATCGTCATCCTACGGATCTCTCGGGCCAGGATTCTATATAGATGCGTACATAGATATATGTAAGCAAATAAATATCTGCGACAGTATAGCGTATACTTATCTCATACGCAATCGAATTCGAATAAACGAGAGTAAAATCATGTCTCAATAATTTTTAGTTTTAAATTCTCATCTCTCAATACGATAAAAAAAGATTATCGAGAAAGGAGAAATAGTGCGAAAGATACTATTGAGAACTTACTTCGTTATCGGCAAAGAAAGAAATCTTTTTTATTTCTTTAATCATGCTTTAATCATTTATTACAGCCTGCAGAATATTTAGTAATAGTTTCTGATGAACATATAGATTTAAAAAAAGATTATCGAGAAAGGAGAAATAGTGCGAAAGATACTATTAAGAATTTACTTCGTTATCGGCAAAGAAAGAAATCTTTTTCATTTCTTTAATCGTGCTTTAATCATTTATTACAGCCTGCAGAATATTTAGTAATAGTTTCTGATGAACATATAGATTCATAACATTAATTATAATAAAAGAAATGGAATTTACGGATTCGACATTTTATCGATATCGATATTCTTATCGCAGACGGAGATTTCCACGCGACCGATACGCACGTCCGCATAATAAGCTCGGAAATATCGCGTGCACGCAACGATTGCGCACGATGGAACTGTCAGGCCGGGACAATTCGCGCCGGCCCTGCTGGTTCGCTATTGAACCGGCCGCGACCCGTACAAATGACCAGCCTAGATTCCTCCCGACGTCCGTTTTCTATCAGAGCCGCGGCATTATTAATAGGCGCACGCGACTTTATTCGAGGCATCACGCACGATGCGTCGATCCTCGAGGATGGCCCGAGAAGAAGACACTAGACGAGGAGAAGCAAGTTAACTCATTCACAGATTTCTACAAGGCGTCCGACAACTTTTCCACGAA